CAGTGAGAAGAGTCTTTTCAACAAATGTTGCTGGGACAATACTATCATGTATTAAGGAACACAAGCAAGTGAAAAAGACTTGCTCAAAGAATTAAAAAAGGTTGCCTTATGACCCAGTAATTCCACTCCTAGGTGGAAAGAGAACTGAAATCAGGTTTTCAAAGACAACAAAACTTGTAAACTAATGTTTATAGCAGCACTAGTCACAGTAACCAAAAGGTGAAAACCACTAAAATCTTCATCTGATGAGTGGATAAACTGAAGTAGTCAGACACTAGAATATTATTTGGCCATAAAAAGGAGTGAAGGTACTTACTACAAGCATGATCCTTTCAAACATTATTCTAAGTGAAAGAAGTCAGACATAAAAAAAGCCATTCAAATTCCAGAATAGGCAAATCCAGAGACGGAAAGCAGATGGGTTTGCCATGGGTTCAGGAGAGAGAGAATGACTATTTAATGAGTACTTAGTTTATTTGGGGATAGGGGATGATAAAAATGTTTTGAAGTTATAGAGGGGCAATCACTTGACAACACTGAATGTGTTGAAGACACAGAATTACAGATTTTCAAAATGACTAAGATGGTAAATATTATGTAATGTGAACTTCAATTTTCTTTAAAAGTCAAGAGGAACAAAGTGACAAAAACCTAAACAGTAGCAGAAAACTGAACTACTGCTAGCAAGCTCCACATTGGATTATTTCCCAAACCCACTTCTCTGGTAAAGCAAAACTAAGACTCCAATTCTTAGGAGTCTCACATCTCACCTTGCTAAAATAAAATTAATAATTCTTGGTGTCTGCCCTAATCATCATGCAGACACAATTTAGTTAATATCTTTTTCTCCCTCCCCAACACTGAAATAAGACAAATAGAATCTATCTCCATAATTTTACTTAGTCATTTAGTTCAGTAGCATCTGTTTATCATGATTTACAAGAATTTGGCTGGCAATGAGTGTTGCAGGAAACATTTGCATAAAGGAATTTTATTTACATATTTTTCCTCCTTAAGCAGTAGGATACTCAAAATGGTCAAGTCTTGGAAATCCAGGCAAGCTCCAGTGGTGATTATTATTTTTAAAAAGCCATACTGGGGCCTCATTGGTGACGCAAGGAGTTAAGCACCGCACTATGAAGCAATCCACAGCCTCTGCTGCTTGAGTTCGATCCCCGGCCTCCCCGGCCGGCCAGGGAGCAACCCACATGGCACAGCAGACCTCTCCTGCCTCGCCCACTGCTCCCCTCAGCAGTGTATTTCATTCAATCTGCCTGTTCTGTTCCCCACTCTGTCTCTGGTGAATACTCTCAACCCCCGCTTCTCTGGCCTGTGCCCCAGCTCTGGCATGCAAAAATAAATAAATCTTTAAAAATAAATAAATAAATAAAAAGCCATACTGGATGGTCTTCAAGAATTGAGAAATATTTAGAGCTATCTAATTTAGAAGACAAATGTGAAGCTCAGCCTATTTTAAAAATGTGTAATTAAATGGAGAGAAAACCAAACTACTGCTGATCTGGCTTGCCTACTAAACAAGCAAGAGAAGAAAATTTTACTTCCTTAGCATAAGTTCCCAGAACAATCTGTACTTGGGTGTTTGAGTAGGAGAAAAAAAAAATACTTCTCACAATATCTTTGTCTCTATAACTTTAAATTTTAATTCCATGTTTATATATGTGCGTAAATTTTAGAATTCTTTGTATAATTAAATTGCTTCTCTCTTCCCTTAGATTAAATGTAAAAGGCAAGGGAGTGAGATTTCCTGAGTAGTATGCTGCCATTTATCTGGGAAGTCCCCACAAGCATACAAATATCGCTATATACTTGCTTATATTTTTAAAAACCAAAGTCTAAGTCATAAAATTTCCATAAATGTTCACCTTTAGAGGAAGAGAAGGATCAGGGTGGAAGGATAAAAGACAAACCCTAGAATTCTCTGAAAACATTTTATTTCATAAACTTGACTTTGAAAATGTTATTTTATATCATTATAAAACAAAATTAAATCCTAATTTTAAAAAACACAGTCTTTAAAGTCCAAAGGAAAGTAAAATAAGTGAACATAACAAAATATCAAGTGGGTGGCTTAACCATATAAAGAACTGCTTGGAATGATTCAGAAACACAGTAATTTAACTGTACCAAAGGATTTACACTAAGGACTCAAAAAATTTTTCATCTGCTTTCATTATTTTAGCAACAATGTTATTCTTAAAGCTATGATTTTATTAGCTAAATTACAACATTACTCATATAATTATGTGATTGTAATGGGTAAAGTTTTATGTATATGGATATCCATACATGTAATAATATATAGGTAGATAAGATATGGAAATGTGTTTTGAAAACAAAGCACTTTAGAGAAATGGTTGAGTCTAAGTTTGTGGCAGGAAATACATAAAGTAAGTCTAGATTGCCTCATTTTGCCAAAAACAAGGGAAACTATCATAGGCCACTGGGGTTACATAAGGATATAGGAGCCAACAAGAAGAGGCTTCCACTGGGCCAAAATTTGGGTATAAGTAACTGCAGTGAACCAAAACATACTAATATTTGAAAAATCAATAGTTCATGTAAAAAAAAAAAAAACTCCTTGCTAGGCATCATTGGATGATATATATATATATATATATATATATATATATATAATTTTTTAAGATTTATTTATGCATACAAGAACTGGGATATAAGCCAAAGGTGCAGTGTGAGAGGACTCATCAGAGAGAGTGGGGAACAGAACAGGCAGATCTACTGAAATACACTGCTGAGGGGAGCAGGAGGCGATGTAGGAGAGGTCTGCTGCGCCATGTGGATTGCTTTCTGGCTGGCCGGGTATTGAACTGGTGCTGCAGTGGCTGGTGATAGCTTGATAGCGGTCTCTAATGCCTGCGCCACCAGGGAGACCCCTATACATATATATTTTTTAAAAGATTTATTTATTTATGCATACAAGAACTGGGGTTTAGGCCAGAGGTGTGGGGGTTGAGAGGATTCATCCAAGACAGTGTGGGGAACTGAACAGGCAGACTGACTGAAATACACTGCTGAGGGGAGCAGCGGGCAAGACAGCAGAGGTCTACCTCACCATGTGGGTTAGTTCCCTGGCTGGGGACTGAACTCATGCTGCGGTGGCTGGTGATAGCTTGATAGCGCTGAGACTTAACCTGTAGACCACCAGGGAGGCCCCGCCATTGGAAGATATTAAAAGACCTTTGATTCTGAAAACTGATTTTAAAAATCAAGTCCTTAATGTCTTTTCTGTACAAACTACCTAGTAGTTTTCAGTTGATTAATGAAGGAAAGAGAAAGTATAGAAATGTTCAGCAGTGGCCACTAACGATACAAAAAGGGAGATAACAGCATAGTATGAGACTTCTGATATCAGTACACAAACTCTAAAGCATCATGATTGCTTCTGAATCAGACCAAGTTTCTAGATCTTACCACAGCTAAGAAACAGTGGAACACATTAAATAAATAAACCCACTAACAAAAAGCAGAAAATTCTCCAGGAGCAAGGGGGGAGCAAGGTCAATCAGAAGTATCCCTTTTGGGCTAGAACATACGTGCACTTAAATCTTCTTAAGTGTCATTATTCCTAGAATACCTGTTATGAAGGGTTAACATATATACTGTAGTGAGCACTGTTACCTGGCACCTAGGAGGTGCTTAACCGATTCTAGTTTCCTTCTTTTGGCAAATTATTTAAAAAGCTGCACTGAGCAAGGGCCACAATCATGCATTATCAGGAGGGACTTTCATCTGACAATGAACACAAGGCTCAAGATTGTATCCAAGTTTCTTGGATCAGCTATGCTATTTAGGAGGGACAAGCCATAAAGCTAATTCCTATAGCATTATCTACTAGAAAACTTATTTCACATTTAATTGTCAAAACTGAGGTCGGGAGCTGTGCAGCGGGGTGTATAGGAGAAAGCTCAGGGACCCCACGCTGTCAAGGCTGAAGACTGAGTCACTGCCCTAAGCTTTCTTCATCACAAAACGAGAGTACAAATCCCACTGCTTATGGTTATGAAATGCTTATGAAATGGCTGGTAATGGAAATTGCCATTTACTTTTCCTCCTTTCACTCCTATTTAGCATGCTTTTAGGTTTTTGTCCGTCTGCTAGATTATAAACCCTTTAAGGGGAAGTTTTCAAAATCAACTGTTAGTAGTCAATGTTTAATGAAAACCACATAAATTCCGCTGCATAATATTAAAACACCAAATGTTTTCCAAACCACCACCCATTTTGATTAGCTCTAAACATTAATGCTTTTCCCAACTGTATACCTAAAGGGTTGGGCTACAATTTGGGTTAAGACCCCAAGAATTTATAAAAATACCCATTACTTTTATATCTACACAGAATATCAGTTGTGTAACTTTACTCAGTCTTCTCTAATGAATGTGTGGGATAGACACAGTTTCTTACATAAGTCTAGAGCAGGAGTCAGCAAACTTTGTAAAGCACCAGATTATAAACACTGTAGGCTTTGTTTGCCTTATTGCCACATGTTTTCTAACCTTCTAAAAATATAAAAAAAAATACTTAGTCCATGTGTCATATTAATACAGGCTGCAACAGGATCTGGCCCAAAGACTGCAGTTTGCCAATTTCTCCTCTAAACAGGGTTTTGAACATTTTAGACCATGCTGCTTTTGTCTTCTCAGTCCCAGAGCAGGCCTCCAGGCACACTCTGCCTTTCATAAACATTCGGAAGGTTGATAAAAGGGGTTGTGAAATCACTATTAGTTCTTGGGTTGGCAAATGGTGATGGAAAAGAAAACATTTTAAAACTAAACAGGCACATATTTTTTAGCTTGCAACAGAGCTGTCTCAGTTGATTTTCTCATCAACGACAATCTTATCACTGAGCTAGTTGCTGTTCTTGACAAGGCCAAAGTGGCTTTTTTTTTTTTTTTTTTGCTGAAGTTCAAGAAAAAAATAAAGATGTAGCGCAGGATGGCTTAATACTAAAGGCACAAAAAGGAGACAAACTGGAACAAAACATTTTATTATTAAAATAAAAACCTTTGTATAAAAAAAGCATTACAGATCAAAAGCTCTATTTACATTGTATTGATCTGAAGTCCAATTCACATCAAATACCAAATAGGTGCAGCAACTGCACATGCAAAGTTAACACACCAGCACTCAGATCCCATCTCCAGCAAATGACTGATTAATACAAAGGGACAGAGGGAGATGGCACATGAAGTCTGCCCAAAATCTGAAGTTCAACTGTGGAAAGTCTCCCATCTCTAAAAAGGCACATCTCACTGTTCTAAAAGTGCTTAAGATATCAACTTGAGTCTTGTGCTAGTGTATCATTTCTTCAAGAAAGCAAAAACTTCAAAGAATCACGCGCTTGTATTAGAATCAGTTTTTCCAGGTAAAATGGTCAAGAATTTATTTATATATGAACTGAAATAAACTTGGTAAGCAACAGTTAAATTCAAGTTTTACAGCTTCAATTCAAATCTGCCTATTCCCAAAGCCTCCCCATCCTGATGCCCCAGGATGTCTTTTTTATAATGATTTCAAGCGCAGCAATGCTCACTCGCCTTCGGCTCGTGTGTGCATCAGATGCAGCACTTAATCTCATGGTGGAAGAAATCAGCGGCAACTGAGTCTCAAGTGGGACAACCTGCATAGGAAGCACGATACATGGAATATTCTCATGAGACATCCAAAAGGATATACTCCACTTTCCAACAATTACCTAATTTTTCCACATTGCTTTAAGACTTCTGTGCCTTGATTCTGTTAAAACTCAATCACATCCATTGTCTTCATGGAAACAAGTTAGAAGGCTGGTCTCTGGAATTCAGTAAATGTAGCTGGTTAACACCACTACTGTGTTTCTAAGTGCTTGGTTTTATGGGTAGGTTCCAGGGCTATTTCAACACCAATGAAATCAAACGTGCTTTCATAAAACTGTCATTTAAAAAGAACTCAGAAACAATGCATGGGGACAGAACCACCGGAAACGGGGGCGGGGGGGATGTTATGGGGTGAGGAGTGAGGCAAAGCCAAGGAGAAACAGCAGGAGGGCAAAGTGGAGCCAGCAATTACCTCCATGATGCTCAGAAACACATGCATGTCTAAAGAGAGTCACTTGATCTGAGTTTCCTATAAAACACACTGCTCACTAAACTTATTTGCTCAGATTTCAATCACACAACAAAACTGAAAGCTTTAACAAGGAAGATTTGTGCAGTGGAAGGCAGGCCATGGATCTTCCAAATATTATGCTTGCATTTCAAATTCCTGTTTCAGACTGAAAGAGAAAAGGAAAACGTATCAGAATATAGTTTCAGCCTGAGTTCTCTTGTGAAATCCTAATTCACTCTTTCTACAACTCATAAATACAGGGTCCAGTCTTAAGTATAATTTAGGCCTCTTTGTCCCTTTCTGCCTCTCTCCCCTTTTAACGTCAGAAACCTTGATTCATTTATTACTTTCTGATAGCTTTAATAAGAATTTTGCTTTGTTGAATTGTCTGCTATGCAAATGTCCAGTATTTGTCATTCTGACTTGCACTTTAACAGTAATTCCCTCAAACTCCCTCCATTTTGCTTTAAATAGCAACATCTCATCTTTCCTAATGACCGAACAGTAATTCATTGTGTGGATATATCTCATCTCCTTGACCCAATACTCTGTCAGTGAACATACAAGTTGTTTCCATGTCCTAGCTATCTTAAATAATGCTGCAATAAATATTGTAGACCATATAATTTTTTGAGTTGACAATTTCATGTCTAACTTGAAATTGAGCCACACACATACATGGCCCTATTGGCAATCCCCAGTCACTATCTGATTTCTATCATTTTTTTTTATTAAGACACTTAAGTAAATACCTAGGTGTGGAAGCAAGAAAATTCAACATTACCTTTTCAAATAAGCATGCACGTTCCCAAAGCCATGGTATTTTGCTAAATACACAAGGACCCCAGTCGCACACCGCCCATCACGCTGCCGACAAAAGCTGCAATTGCAGATTCTGCGACAAGGAGGGCAATGCCAGTTCTGAAGAACAGTGAAAAATCACAATTATTTCAGACCTTATTCTCTCCTCCCCTGCTCCACTCATCTATTCCTACTTAACCTCTGAGATTGGTATCATTAATTGCACTTAAATCTTTTAATTTTTTTATTAAAAAAAAATTAACATGGTTAATATCCACTAGGCATATCTAACATTCCCTTGGGAAACCCAGCAAATAAAATGCCATAGCAACTACCAGGGATAGATGGAGAATGAACATCCCTTGAATGGCCCAACCCCTAAGCACTCTGGAAGGGGCTCACATCTATGCAGCACCAACAATAAGGATTCATCTGCCTTCCCTGAAATGAACACCTCACTACACTGGTAACTCCAAGCTTTCTACTGATGCCCTGTTTTCTGGTGTCTTCAGGCTCAGAGTTGACCTTCAAGCTGCAGGAGACCACCCTCTCAAGGCACTTACTGGGTCCAGAAGAGCATCCCTGACCTCTTCACCATAACGATTTCGAAGGCAAGGACCGCAGAACTGGCCTCGAACTCCCCAGCACTCTGGGTTTCTACAGTTTGTTTTTGTATCAATAGTTTTCTGGCGGCACTGATGACAAGTTGATCCCTATACATAACAAGCAAGTAAAAAAAGAAAAACTTTTTGATAGTCCTTTGTGGGTAGTCTGACATTTTGTCTTTGATTCCTATTTACATCTACATATACACACAGCATGTGAAGTATCACAAGTGTAGTGATTTCATTCAACTGGCAGCTGCAATAACTAATAGCAAAACTACTTCCCTGTGAGAAAAGGTTTTGCATGCCAAAACACCTGCCCAAATCCTTTATCTTTAGCATGCCACCATACCACGTGCCCTGCAGCCATCTAGGTAGACACACATAACAGATACATAGCAACCATGTGGGGAACTAAATCAACTTCTAAATCAAGAGAAAAGATTAAAACTACCAAAAACTTACTAGAGTGCTAAAACCCAGGGCGACTATACCAATTTCCCGTATGAAAAAACACACTGGCACACATTACCCTGAGACCTTTAGAGTATTAGCAAATCTCTAACGACAAACGCTATCCTTCCTCTGTTATGCCTGTTACATTTTCAGACATTATTTAGAGATTTTTACCAATGAACGGTTATATATCTTCTCTCGAGAGTTGCTGCAAATATTCTCCAACTCTTCTTCTGTAATTTCTTCCACTGGACGAATTACATGCGGGAGAGTCATGGAGCCAGGGCGACGAATTCTGGGCATGTCCTCGTCCTGCAGGACAGAAGCACAGGAACAGAGTCTTTACTGGTTCTCCCCAGTTCTGGATCTCAGAGACTTGGATTTGTAACTTCTTCACAGAAATTCAGCTTGGAGAGGGAGCAAGACATTGAGTTTACCATAGGATAATGGGACATGATGGAAAACAATTCCTACGATTAAAAAAATAGTCAAAGTTGACTCTTGACTGCAAACAAAATCATTAAATAGGTTTATATGACATTAACAATTCTGAATGGCTTGAAAAAAACATTTAATACAATCATTTGGTGCTAAGTATGTACCTGTATACCTGATATTGGGTCTACAGAAGATATAAATCAGAATAGCACACACAAAATCAGAGCACTCACATTCATGTAGCCATCTATGGTCTTCCTCTTTCTCACCAACATGTACTTATCTTCCTCCTCCTCCTCCTCCTCCTCCTCCTCCTCTGTGGGTACAGTGCTAGATGACCCGAGAATCCGGGACCTTGACCTGGTTAGAGGGCGAGCTCTCCGTTCAGGGTTTCTCCGAGAAGCCGCGCCTGGGAAGGTACGTCTCCGGGGCGTCTTGGATTGCTAGACAAAATACATTACGAAACCCACTGATTTCAAAATGAAGAGAAGTAGCACCTCAAAAGGAGAGGTCTATTTTCTATTTCCTTTTTGCTTTTCCTAATGAACAGAAAACGGGCCCCCAAAATGACATAGCTATTTTAATTCTGCCTTTATAGCACTAATTCTAGTTTATCTCAAACTGAGATGATCTACTTAGTCTTTTTAAACACATAATGGGCGTCATTTTCCAAAACTTTTCCACTACCATTCAAGCCCTGAGACATACTCACTGTTTCTATACTGCGCAAGAGAGAAATGTATATACTGCTTTCCTTTTCTGTTCTTTGCCTCTTTCCTTTCTCCTCAGGGAGAGGCGGGGAAAGGAAGCAGACACACAAATTCCTCTGAGTTGTACCAGTTCAGTTCCTCAGAATATAATCACATGATACCATACTTGGTTAAGAAAATAGCCTTTTCTTTTTTTTCCCCTCAGATTTTAAAAAGATCGACCATTACGAATCTGCCATAGAGGAGGAACGTGCTCAGGCTAGGAATATAGAAAAGATTTTTTTCAACCTTTATTCCCTGTCCGTAAGGGCTTAGCCTAGGTGGGAAGAGATGTGCAGTCAAAGGGGTATGATGCTGCAGCAGCAGGGCACAGGGGCCACACCTGCCTTGGATGCCAGGGAGAGATCTGCCAGGAGGATCCCTCTGTGTCTCGAAGACCATACCAAATAATAAATTGAATTTTAAAATATCATAACGAATCTACTTCCCACCTGCCCAAAACACTATACAACAAGGATTCGCACTTACTGAACGGGGGCCTAGGAGGGAACGCCGTCCAGGAAATGAGCCAGGCAAGCTTTCCAGTTCTGACATTAGTTTTGCCAGCTAAGAAGGGAGGAAATCAAACAAACCATTAGTTTGGAGAATTTGCTGAAAATGAGCAACTTCTGGAAATTACAGCAGCATATGTCAAAGAGCTTCAGATTTCCCCTACACATTTACCAAGACTTTAATCGATTTCTTTACAAGCTAAAGGGGGAAAATGCATTTTAAAGCACATATTGTAAAGACTTTACAGTTACACCGAAAATAATTCTCTAAGCACAAAAAGTCACTTAGAGAAAAGCTGAGAAGAGTTAGTTCTAACATGTTCAAGGTCAGACACCTACCATTGCTTTGTTTTGCTTTATATTTAAGGCTCTTTTCTCCAAAAAATTCACTCCGCTTTCCTCTTCTGAATCAGAATTGGAATCGGTCACAGAATTCTCTAAGGGTTCAGGGACCGCTGTTTTTTTGGCGGCTGTTCCCCTGGTGTTCCGAGCTGGAAACTTCATGGCCACGCGGAGCTGTCCAGCAAGTCTGCCCTGGCTGCGGGTCCTGCAGCCCATGCGGGCCGAAGGTGGTCTCTAGTTAACCAGAGCAGTGAGTCATTAATAAGGCTCAGTGGACGACAGCCAGCACAGGACACTCAAAATCCTTTTTGAACAAAAGACACTTGCATCAAATAAATTTTAATTGGACCCTGACAGTTCTGGGTAACAAAATCAGGAATTACAAATGACAATCTGAGTGTAAATGAACTTACACAGTCTACCCAGGTCACAGGGCTCTAAGCTACTTCATAGCCCTTAGGCTGGTGGTTGTCAAGTTATTTTTTAAGATGTGAGAACCCTACTCTCTAATTCCTTTAAAAATATTTTTATGAATTTCAAGACTTCCTATAGGAACAAATTATGTGTTCTCCGACAGACATGGTCTCCATGCTTATAGCAATACGAAACTATAATAAAGGTGTCTCAATGCTCTAATCTACTTTTTTGGGTGGTAAAACATATTATAACACAATTTATCATTTTAACAATTTTTAAGTGTATAGTTTAGTGGCCTTAAATACATTCACACTATGTTCAACCATCCATATCCAGAACTTTTGCATCATCCCAAACTGAAACACCTCGCCTGTTAACTCCTCACTCTTCACTCCACCCAGCCCCTGGCCATCCTACTTTCTCTCTTTATGAATCTGACTCTTCTGGTTACTTTTCTAACCCACTTTTTATAAGCCTGAAATAAAATAAAAATTAGCCACTGAGAAGATACAAATTAGAACTGCAAATTAGAACTGCAAAAAAAACGGTATTTGCAAAGATATGGTAAAACTAGAGCAAAGATATGGTAAAACTAGAACTCACATACACTGCTGGCAGGAATGTAAATGGCAATGACTCTGGAAAATAATCTGTCAGTTCCTCAAAAGGCTAAGTAAACATAATTACTACAAGATCCAGCAAGCCTATTATATACCTGAGGGTATGTGCAGACAAAAACTTACATATGAAATTTCTTAGCATATGATATCAGCCCACATCTTTCGACCCAATCATCTATCAACTGATAAATAACATGTGGCATCTTCACACAATGGAATAGTATTTAGCTATAAAAATATGCGCAGTATTGGCACTTGCCACCCAACTATAAACACACTGCTTCCTCTGTTGACAAAGTCTTGCTAACAAGAAAACATGCAAGGGGAGAGTGGGACCAATGTGCAGGAGCAGCAGCAGCAGCAGTGGCCTGAGGAGCATGACAGAGCTTAAAAAGGCAGGTCAGTGTGCACAGGAAAAGCCAACCAAAGAGCAAGAGTGGAAGCAGGAGGAGTGCTTATTGTCATTATCCACATTCAAGCTCCTGTACAGGAGTTATCACCTGTTCTAGATGCAGGCATAAGTCCCGTGGTGGGGACCAGCCCTGATCAGAGACTGGACTGGGCATTTAAATACAAAAGTAGCTAATCCTGAGAACAAACTGGAATCAGTGCTTCCGCTGATTAGGCTAAGTTTCTGTGGCAAAAGAAATCTGGAGGTTGACCAATTTTATCTTACCAGTTTGCAAGATTTTCTAAGTCTACCAAATTTTCAAGATTTACAAGTAGGAGCGTGTTAGTAAAAACTGCTTTGAGGCATAAAGAAAATATTCTTAAAATATTCCAAAGATCAACAAAATCTTCTGGCATGATTAAAATGAAAATTAGAAGAATAAAAAATTTAAGCAAGTATATCATGCCTCTAAAGGTCCCTTACTTTTTGATATTGGTGAAATTCTCAAACTCACCATTCCATCTTGTATCTCACTTTCTGAGAAACCGCAAAATGATTCATCATCAGAGTCGGCATGAAAAATACTGGCCAGTTCGTTAGTGACATCTGGCCTTGGTTTCTGCAAAAATCCACAATGGTCTAATACATCTTGCACCTCACTTTCTGAAAAGCCGCAGAAAGATTCATTATCAGAGTCCTCATAAAAAACATTTGCCAGTTCTTCACTGATATCTGACCTGAATTTAGGTTTCTGTAAAATAAATAAATAAATAAATGTGGTTGTGCATTTTTTTTTTCTGTTTCAAGAACCAATTTTCCATAAACCGTGCAGAGAGCAAATCACATTTACAAGAGCACTACAAGAGAATAGCTTTTGTTACAAAGAAAAATGGTTCAGAGGTTTACAAATGATTTCTGAGTTGTTATGGCAAATCATCAGGCATGTTAGGTTAGGCGACATTTCAAAAGGATAGAATAAGTAGCTAATCTATCTCCAACAATTACTACCTAGAACCACAGCAAAAAGTGAAATGAAATTATAGTGCATACTGTATTTTCATAACGGCTGTATAGAAATGTAGGCAAAAAGCAAGCAGTTTTAATCACGCACAAAGCATTTGGGGCATTTTGAGCACTGCAGACTCAATTCTGTTTATTCTCAGGCAGCACTTACTGTGTTTGCAAAATTATCAGAAGCAAAGCTGTCACAACTGTCATCAGAGGATGACGCAGTTTCCATGGAAATCAACTTCACATATCTGAATTTCTTGAAGTTCTTTACTCTGAGATCCTTTTGCTGTAGATGGAAATGGCAATGCTATTAAATAGGATGCTTACTATAGTACCTAACTAAAGACATCTTTTCTGAGTTTAGCAGGTTTAAACAGCCGAGTAGATAGGTCCATTTCTAATACTCTACAAAGAAAAAACAAGGATTTACAACTGCTACCAAAAAATTCAAAACCAGATTAAATCCTAAAATGGGATCCCTTTGCAGAAAAATTGTAATGACATTCGTCAATCTATTCAACTATCTAGAGCTACCTTTTCTACCTAGCTTAAGAGCCCCCAAGCTCTTAGCCTTATACTCAGCTCCTTAAGGAGTTTAATGCTAAACTCCTAAAACCCACACCCCCCACCCTTTTGAAAATTAAACACTAGTTCTAAAAGGAAATTTTGAAAGTACAAAATTGTAGAGTGATTTTTCTCCCTTAGCCAAAATCAAGCTAATGAAGTCTTTTTATGTAGCTTTAAGCGATGTACTGTGATGCTAATTTTCCCAACTACAAAACCTGGGCAGGACCTCTACTTCAAGATGGCAGGCTTCCAAAAAGGCCTCGTTCCAGTCAGGAAGGGTATAGTGAATTCAGCTCTAGTCCTTACAAACCAAACCTATCAACCCAGTGAGCAAATGGTACAAAGAGCCAAGTTAAAGGTCAAAACAGCATTCCATACCCTGGTAGAATGCCTGATTCCACTTCAGCTCTCTATTAACCTGGCCTGAAGTTCAGCTTTCTGCAGAGCCCTTGCTAAATAAGTTTTCAGAAATCCTTCCAGAAGGCACACATTACTTGTGGATATGAGAGTTCTTCCTTCATTCTTACACAGTTAACTGCCAACACTGTTCATCAGAAAATGCAATTGGCATCTATCTCACACAAAACCCTGAACAGCAGATTCTGCCATTTTCAAATATGGAATGAGATTTCTTTTCATTTTTAGTATGGCCATGGCAGAGCAGAAGTACTATGTGCCAGTCCTCACGATGGCAAGTTCTGCTTTGTATGGTCCCATAAAATAATGCCAAGATGCGAGGTGTCAAGTAACAGTCCTGACCTCCCTGTTGTACATCTCACTTCATTCAGATATAAAACTATTTTCATGATGATAGTACCCAAACACCCTCTGCTCCTAGATAGACTACTCAATCATCTTGGGAAGTTTTTGCCCTTTCTCGTTACAGAAAGGCAGTAAAGTGGAATAGGTAGGGCTACTACCTATTGAACGAGATCTCACAAACCACCCACTTTTCAGATGAAGAAATTCAAAGTTCTAGGGAGGTGAGATAAGGTTGCCCAAGATCACAGGGCTGGAAAGAGAACTCAAGTCTGCAATCTCCCAAAAACAGTTCCTTGAATTTTTGCAGGAATTACCCGCAAGCAGTCAGAGGCCCAGGACAGCCTCAAGGGAGGCATTCTAATGGAACCTGTCAGGAAATACACGCTGGGTTTTTTAACAAGTCAGCACTTGCCAACAGTTTGTTACCAGGGAAATGTACATCTGGAGCAAAGGACTGATAGAAGCACGGCAAATAGTTGTAGTTCAGACGAACTTTTTTTTTCCCGGCATTTACTAGGCGGAACAGGCATTAAATATGCTTTCACATTATGCTCTATTCCTTGCCACAAAGATGCCATCATTATTATTCCCGCTTAACGAACGAGGGGAATGAGGCTCAGAAGTGAAATGGATTACTCAGGTCACAAGAACGCCCAATTCTGAACCCAGGCACGTCCCAGCCACACAAGGCAAGACAAGCCGCCGCCCAGCCCCGCCCGGGAAATCTGGTTCTGAAACCACGCCCTCTCCCCTGCCCCCCAGGCGCCCCACTCTCCTCTGAGACTTATTTCAAGCATTGCCACTCCCTCCATGCCCACCCAACCCCCTCTTCTCAGCTCTCCGGCTGCAGACCCTCCGTTCCGGTTTCCGTAGAAAGTAAAAAGAAACGTTCCTTTGGGGGTAACCCCATGCGGCCGCGAGCAGGGCTGGCGGGTGGGGCGGGGTGTGAGGAAGGAGCAAATGGTGGGCCCACAGTTTGGGCCACTCGGTCCTTCCACTGAACTTAATTACCTCCCGCGACTAAAGGCGCCTCCTCCCAAGTGTGCCCTCTAAGTTTCAAAGAGGCCAATTTGTGAGTCCTTCACCCCGAAATGCACCAACCTCAGCAGTTACATGCTGCAGCCAGCGCAGCGGGGCAAAAGCAGGCGCGCCAAAGTGGCCCCCGAAGCCCCCAGATGCGCCCGGGAGGAGCCAAGGGCCGGGCAGGGCGGCAGCGCGGCAAGTCCTCAGGGAGCTGGGGGGAGGGGGCTCAGGGGGAGGGGGCAGCATTCCCCAGGGCGCCCCGCCGATCGACTCCGGGCAGCGGACACAATGAGGGGCCTGGCACCCGGGCCGCCGTCTGGCCCCCAGCGCACGTGCACCGCGGGCGCACGTGGCCTCGGGCCGCTCACCATCCTGAAAGCGGCTCAATTCTCCCAGCCGTCCCAGACCCGGCAGGGGCGGCCCCCGGTTCCGAGGCACCCCAGTGCGCGGAACCCGGGGTTCATCTTCAAGGGAGCGGCGGCCCCGGGCGGCCACCAGTTGGGCAGCACTCGGGCCGCGGACTTGGCATGACTGTGCGCGCGCCCAGCACCCATCTCACCCGCCCCGCGGGTGCGCCCGCCCAGCCCTCACCGGCCCGCGGCGAGCGTCCATGCTGGCGGCGGGCGCCTGGTCGGCGGTCGGAGCAGGGAGAGCGGAGCCGCAGCGCGCGCCGCCGTCCCGCAGGGCTGGAGCAGCCGGAGCCGCGCGGCCGCGGGCGGGGCGCGCAGACCCGGGCCCCGAGGGGCGGGGCCCCGGCCGGGCTTTCCCGCGTTGGGGCGCAGGTCCTGCCAGCTGTGGTAACGCCCCGCTGGGGCGCGAGACCCGCTCGGACCCCCCGCGAAATGCGATCTCCAAAATAACGTGAAGTCCATTACTAGCCTCGGAGTTTCTTAAAATCCGCTTTGGAAAAGTGGCGCTTTTAGGGTGCCGGGACCGTTCTCTTTACGTTGCTGTGTGGACCTGGCCGAGTGGCGCGAAAAAGGTTCGTATTGCCCCCGGGTTAACAAGCTGATTTGCATGAATTTTGGAGCTGGGGACGGAAACGTGGACATGGGGGGAATGGAGAGCAAGGCGAGTCCACGCCCAGTGGCCTGCATTTAGCACTTTCATTGTGGTGTGCCGCTTACAGTATTTTCATTAAAAACAAATTTAAATAAAACCAACTGCACCCGTGTCGAAGCTGATTCACTCACTGTCCTGGAAGTAGCGGCTCTTATCTGGCAACCACACCATTATCTGAAGCAATAAATCCTGATCTTTCTTACCAAAAAGCTCTGGAGGCCAAGTGTTTTTCATTAAGATTTTTGGGGTTTAAGTTGGAGGGGGGAGGTACTGTTGCTAGTAAAGCTTTACGTAGGGGATAAGTCTTTAGAGCTATCAAGGATATAAGGGAGAGACTGTTAATGTGACTTGGTGGATCTTTCTTCCGTTAGAATTTAGAATTACCTAAATCAGAATGAAAGTGAGAGAGTTTTCATTGCCATTTTAATCGAGCCAGACATTCCGATGAAATAAGGTGTGGAGCTTTACTTTTTCTGTTTAGTAAAAGAGCAGGGAAAAGTTCCTCTTAGATAGTAGAATAAATTTGGTTGTTTTAAAAGACCCTAATTATAACCTTACGTTTAAAACAAGTGCTTGAAATGAAAACATAAATACCTTCCCCTTTCTCAATTTTCCTGTCAGAAATAATTCCTTTGCGGTAAGAGAGTATGCAGGAGTACCGCGTTCCCCTCTAGCTGGACTGAATACAAAAACCTGGGAGCAAATGAAAATGCAGAACAGTGCATTGGAAGAATTAGAAGCAACTTGGTCAGTCTTCCACCTTTTGTAAAACATGCCTGACCGTGGTCACTGTGCCACAGTGCAAGGGACAAAAGTAACTCAAGGACTGTCCCCAAAGGTAGACTCCAGGAGGTGGGGGTGGGGATCCTCAATACATTTGTTGAGTAAACAAACTATATGAAAGTGAGTGAACTAAAATTGTCAGTACTGTGTCCTTGGGAATACAATCTTGTGCCACTAAAATTAAAACCCTTTGAAACTGTGGAAGGCATAAAGTAGGAGAAGATTAAGTCTTTTTCCCTATGAAAGGATATGATAGGAAAATTCTTAGTCCTCCTGGGGCCCTAGAAAATAACTTGGTTTACATGTTTGTTTAAGGATAAGCACTCTGGTCTAAAAATGAAAATTAAACAAGGAGATGTGTTTCACTTAGATTGGCAAAAATGTAAAAGCCTGATAAGACAAGCAGTTGGTAGGAATATGAGGAAACTCCTGCAATGGTACTAGCAGTTTAAATTTGTTAACTTCAAAGGGTAACTCAGGAGTATTAAGAAAATCACTTGCAGAGATACATCTTAAAATGGTCGTTCATGCTGCAATTTAGAACGCATTAAGTAGATGGTAAAATCAATTCAGGGGGTAGAAACTAGCATATTTTCTTCTAAGTTTTGGAAATAGAATATGAATAGTATGACTGTTATTTCCTGAAACTTCTGTGTGATGTGTGCGCGCGTTATATAAAATGTGTATTTCATATTGTGTTTCACCATCAAACTTTTCAAGGTACTGTCCTCGAGGCTCTGTCCACGTGTCATATAAGATGCTCACAAATTTAGCCAAGGATTATGAAGTGGTTGCCGCCAGGCTCTGTTCTGCAGACACAGAGGCCAGGGAGTTTACATTTTAGTGGGAAAGCAAAAATAAATAAATGAGATAATTTCAGACATGATAATTATTGAAAATTAAAATAAAAGCAGGATAATGGGATAAGAAATCAAAGAGGTACTAATTTAGAGACGAGAAACAGGAAAGGTTTCCCTGAAGAGGTGTTGTCTGATCAAGAGCTTGAATAAAGGGAGGAGGAAACCACAGGGAAACCAGGAAAGTGTTGGCTTCAGGCAGAGAGAACAGCTGGTTCAAAGGTTCTAAGAC